TTTATTAAATAATAAGTAATAATAAAAAAGTAGAAATAGTAAGTAAAGTAACTACAGGTTTATTGCTTCTTAATCAATGAGATGGGTGTGCCTGGTGTTTTTTTGCAAGGTTCCCTATAATGGGTTCAAAATTGGTCAATTTTATGGCACATATGCATATGACTTATAAACCAGAAGTGCAGAGTTCATGCCACTGCGCACTGGTACATAATTACTTGTTTCACCCGAATAAATATACGTTTATTAATTTATGTTCTATAAAGAAACTGATATTAAGTCAATTAGTCAATTATAAAAAAATTCACAAATTTTACATACTTAATTAGGTATGTGTGATTTGCGTAATAAGAACTGTTTTTTCATAGACCTCAATCGACCCTTCCGATTCGGATAGACCCCCATTCGACCCCCTGGCTCAGATCGACCCCAGCCTTTGTTAAATAGACCCTTGGGAGTCTATATAGACCACTTTGGCGACCTCTGCTTTAGATAAACAAAGTTAACTGATAACAATAGTCAAAACTGAAACCTATATTCAGGGTACGTAGTCCTGATATTCCTGATAATACAAAAATATTTTGCCCAGATTTTTAGTTTTTCGTCTGATATTCTTGATTTTTGTGCGTGCTCTGAATAATTTCTAAGAATGCAAATGTGGATATTTAAGAAATAGGTTTGAAAAAAATACTGTTTAATTTTTAATTTTAGCAATACTTGTGAAAATAACATTTAATCCAGTTCCAATTTAGGGACCATCTATTAATTATATATACTGCATAGGCATATAGCCTTACTGCATTTTGTCAACCTTTTTTCAGTCATTTTATAGAAAAAATAGCTCATTGCCAATTTTTCATAATCGAATTTTAATGCTGAGGAATTCAGGGGACGTATATTTATTTATTATTTTACGCAAATGCAGAAACAAATCTTGTAGTATGGTGTAATGTAGTTTCGCAATAATTAATTTACATTTTTTTCATCTGATTTTAAGAACTTTAGATTTCAATCAACATAATCATATCATATAATGTTTATATGTTGAATTGAGGGATCTTTTAAATTAATTTTGTACAAAAATGTAAAGCAGTTGTTCATTGTCCTTTCATTTCGAAGTTATTGAAACCCCACTTCAAAATGACTTAAGTAAGAAAATATTAAATATTGATTCGAAAGTATAATTGTTCAGTATTCATAAAATTATACTGTAAACTTTTAAAAATTTCTGTTTCAAACAAAGTAATTCTGAAATTAAAAAAACACTTACTTAAATTTATAATTATTTAAAGAACTCTTAAAATATCATAACCGAGTTTATTTAATACCACAAAGTTACTAATTCACACATTAAACATAATCACTACCAAAAAACTTATTAAATTTACGAATTCAAATAGCATAACATTTTTTTAAATAAATGCTATTAAGTATGAATATTGCAAATCGATTCTTAAATAATATGATATATAGATTTTTAAAATTCTGCATTAAAAATGGTTTTTTTTTTACTAATAATTTTTATTGTTTATAATTTCTTTCATCAAAACCTTTGAACTTCTTGCTGCTATATTAATTTAAATTTACGTAAATTTAAGCAGGTTTTCTACGAGTTTGTATTGGTCTATTGCAACTTCTTCCGTTTCTTCCAGTGCCCTGTAAAAAATAGGTTCCTTCCGGATGAGATGCCATTCCTGATTGAATTTTTTCTACGGTTTATGATTGAAAACTCTTGTTAATGTGATGATTTTTTCTAATTTGATGATCTAAATTTGATGATTTTTGCAGTTGAAAAAAAAAGCATTCGATTAAAATAAATAAAGCAGTTCGTACAGAAAATTTAAGCGACAAAGCAAACAAACTTTTCAGAGTTTTGCTTTCAGTTCACAATTGTTTGGACGGATGGCGCTGTAAATCACTTAACCGTTCTTTGCTTTTGAACAAACATAATTTTTGATTTTGAAATAAATAAATTTAGAAAGCTAAAACTTTGAATATATGTTATTTATCAGAAAAATGGAAAAACTAAAAAAGTTTCACTACGATATTTTGTAATTATTGGAGTACTTAGCCTAATTAATCCAATAATACTAAATAACAAGTTTTTGCAAAGGTAGAATTCTCAAATTTGGAATCGGTGTTCCTAATAAGATAAAACAAATATTAAAAAACTAAATAAATAAAAAACTGAAGTTGCATTTCGATATTTTGCAAAAACGACTGAATGCATTTTGATACTTGCCGTCGCGAATGCGTTAAAGCGCTCTGTAAATTTTGTATGAAATGAAAACCAATGTGTTATATTTTGTTTCAAGTATGCTTACTTGACATATGGTGAGAGCTGACCAAAAGTACCCATCGCTTAAAAAGATTTTCTTATTTTTATGTCCAATTGCAATTTCATCTAAATATCTCGCTAACAAGGCGTAGTGTTGAAAAACGGAACTGTACTTCAGATTCGAATAAGATGTGTACCAATATGAAATATTTTGTTTCGAAAATGGTTACTTGACCTATTGTGAAAAATGACCTAAATTGCCAATTTTTAAAACAAATTGCACGTTTTGCCAAATTTAAATGCTGGAATGAAGAAAAATAATTTGGTAACATTATTGTTTGAATAACGACTGCTTTCTTGACGTTTTGGAGACCTTTTTTTTTTTACTAATAGGATTTGCAATGATTTAACTATATTCAATTTCAATCCCCCCCCCCCTTTTAGCCGAGGTCAGCGTAAGTCAAAAAATGTGACGTGGATTTTTTTTAAGTTGGTTACAGAAGTTAGTTTTAATTGGTGTTTTTAATGAAGCAGAATTTATGCTTCATTTTTTGACCTATAGCAACTTCTTTCATGCCTTTACATTTACGTGTTATTCTACTTCAATAAATAGCTTTAATTCAAATGAAAATAAGATGAAGACAAACTAATTTTAAAGGAAGTTTTGATTTTTAATTTTAAATAATACAACTAATAGTCGTAATGTGTGTCATCAATATATTGAAAGCTCGATGTAACGGCCCCGCACATCCAAACGCATGTTATAATGTGAGATGTGCATACAAAAATATGCAAATATTTTCATAAAACTAATAAGAACGGAACTCATTTCAAACCGAACATGTAATACTTGAAAAATGAATAAGGTACTGTTAGAATCACAGGTAATAACACTTGATTTTTTATGTATTTGAGATGGTAATTTTTACATTAAAATATAATTTCCAATAATATTTTATAAAAGAAAAAGAAGAGGAAACATTAAAAGCAGTCTACTAAATTACTGTGAATACTACAGGATCGAAAAGAAACGAAAAAAAAAAATACTGCTTGTGAATGCGTCTACGCAATGATTGCATAAAAGATAGTAGAACTGCTTGCAATACCCGAAAAGCTGGTAAAAAATCATTTATCAATGCTCTTGCTGAGGAAGATAGAGATGTAGAAGATGATTACGATAATTTAGAGAGAATCTTGAAGAAAATGCAAAAAACAATAATTTTAATTTTATAACCGTCGTTGAACAGCCGACCCAATTTTGGGTTTACGACTTCAAATGTTCAACTCTGTAGCCTTGTCATTTTGAACCTAATCCAGAAGACAAGAGAACTCCTGAATCAAGTATTGGGAGACATTTGCTTCGTGGAAACCTTTTTAAATGAACTAATTCGCATTTGTGTTACATGTAGAGAAAAACCACGAAATCTTCCCACGGTTCGCCTGACGGCAAGAGGAGCCTAACACATAATCCGTCTACTACTGAGGATATTTTACGTCAGCACTGTGGTCGGTGCGAGCCGGGTACGGGATTCGTATCGACCAGCCAATACGAATCGTAACAGTGGTTTCTAAATCGAGGTGAATGCGAAACGCGATATTTGATACAGAATCGTTAAAATACGAAACAGGATGCGTTTTTTCAAAACGAGTAAATAGAAATCGCGATGTGTGATTTCAAGTCGCGTGAATGTAATTTAAATCGTGTTTTCAATGGTAGGAAAAAGCGTATAAATTATTTTTAAATTTTTTTTTTTTTTTTTGAATACCCTTCCCTCCCAAGTGATATTCAATGCTAGTTTGTTTATGAAACCACTTTATGAAATAAAAACCTAATTAACTTAATAAATAAAATTATTTTTTCTTCGAAATAAATATTAAGAATATACTTCTAATATAGTTTGTAAACAGAATTTTTGCAAAATAGGAGTATTGCTCGATTGTTATTTATAAATTAAATATTTATTAGACTTGAGTATAAGACTTCAGTATTAGTTTAAACAAAAAAACATTGTTTAGAATGTTTAAACCAGACTGTTTTTTAAATTAAGAATCAGACGCTTTTAAGAAGGATTTGATTTTCATTTTTCGATTACTATGTGTATAGTTCTTAGAATTGCCAATATTTAATTACGAATGTGAGTCAGCCCAAGTCAAAATTCTTGATGGTCCCATCAGAGCATTTTGATGGTTTCTGTGCGATTCATGCTGGTCAAACATCATTTGATGGTCACCATCATCCAACATTTTTCATTATGCCATGTTGATGGTTTTTGAGATTCCAACAAACATCCGTGATTGAAAATGCTACTTTAATACTATGATGGTTAACCATCAAGAGAAATTTGCCTCTCATAATCCATGATGATCCATGACATAGGGGTGATTGATTGCTACTTATGTTGGTTATCATCAAGAATATAATGGTTCCTGATGAAATTATTGATGGTTACCATCAAGATTATGTTGTTCCATCAATGGAAATCCATCAGAGATTTTGACTTGGGAGACCAGGCGCTTTCAAGAATGAATCATTTTTAGATAATACTGAGTATAGATCTTAGAATTACCATTATTCAATCATGAATGTGAGTCAGAACAGAAGTTTAAAATGAGCGATCAGTTTTTCATTTTCTGACTGTTCTGTTTAGTTCCTCAAAGTACTAACATTCAATATAATGTCTGATTTTCTTATAACTGATGCAATTTTGCCCTTATTTTTTTCCAGATTTAAGTTCTAGATTGAGGGAAATCTCTACCATTTGGAACAATTCCCTGGCCCAGGTTATATTTAAACACTTTTTCTAAGATTCATTTATGCTCATTAATGGAGAAGACACTTTATGAAAACGGTGGTTGTATTGTTACATGGAAAATTGAAAATTTTCATTGCCTAGAGAGGTTCAGTTTTTTGTGTAGCCCCTATTTCCTTATCGGGACAACTCACAAATATAGGTTATGTTTTTATAATAACTCTTTCCGTCTTGAAAACGACTGCCTTACCCCTTCAAATGTAAGTTTTACTTGTTCTATCTCAATAACGATAGATGGTTCAACAGTTTTTCAAGACAAAAATGAAAGAACATTTTCAAGTTTTTGGCTTGATATCGGTAGTTTTAAAGAAATCGATATTGAAACTTTTCCTAACACTGTAGTATATCGATGCTACCTACGTATAATTTCGGACAACAATTTGATTGTAAATCAATATTCATTTCGAACTGTGGTGGAAGCTGAATATCGAAGGATTCAATATACCAATCTGACCATCAAAACTTTTGATCAAAATCAAAATTTATTATTTCCATCGCCGTTGGCATGCAGTTTGACAATGCCATTTGATATAAAATTTTGCGCATCTGAAAGTAAAGATTCCTTAAAAATGGACATTACTAACACTTCGGAAAGCAAAAGTGACGCCATTTTAATTTGTAAATTATCCATTACTGATGAAAAAGGAAAGCACCTGTTCAGAGCAACTCATTTCAACGTGTTTAAAAAAGAAGAAACAAATGTCTGGTGTTTTCCAACCCCTATTAGCATAAAAGATTTACAGTCAAGTGATTCTCTAATTGATATTTTATCATTAGATTTTGAATTTTCATTATCAGAACGCAAATCAAATACTTGGATCGAAGAATTTTCTGAAATGCCAGTATCTCAAACAAAGATAGTGTCCGAAAGCTACGAGAAAAATAAAGTTAATTTACGAGATGATTTTATGTGTCTTTACATTGAACGAAAGTTTACAGACATGGAAATCATTGTGGGAGGAAAAAAGTTCCCAGCTCACAAGACTGTGCTATGTGCTCGATCTCCTGTATTCAGTGCTATGTTCGAAAGTAACATGCTAGAAAAGGAGAAAAATGTAGTTGAAATATCTGATTTAGATCCAGAAACTGTGGATAAAATGTTGTTTTTTATGTATTCCGAAGTTTTGGAAGACAGGAATTGGGACAGCGTTACTAAACTGTATGTCGCTTCAGATAAATATCAGATTATGACTCTAAAAGATAAGTGTGCTTCGATTTTGTTTGATCAACTGTCATCGAAAAGTGCTTGTGAAGTCTTACATCTCGCCGATATGCATTGTGATTCAGACTTTCTGGATGCAGTTCAGGATTTCATAATCACCCATGACGAAGAGATTTTGCAGTCTGAAGAATGGAAAGAGTTTATGGACTCCAATTCGAAAATTGCTTGTCAGACTATGCACAAGGCGTGGATACATCGTACTACTGTAAGAAGAAAAGAACTGTAAAGAAGATAGATTGACTCTTTTCGTTTAGGATACTTATGAAGAACTTATAGTGTGCAAAAAATTTAATAAGGAAATAAGCGAGCCGCCCAAAATAGCTTTAGATCTAATAATAAGATTTTCACGTTCTAAGACATAATCTTAATGGTTCGAAGGGGTGACCTCAAGCATTCTAATTAATTAGTGCAAAAGATATTATAAATTGCAAAACCAGACTCAAAAACGTACATTCTCTGAATAAACATACCTTTGCTTCGACGGATTTGGATTTGTGATCTCCAAATTATAGGGGGTGGCCACAATATGATCTCCATAGTTTGATCAGGACAGCAATCCAAATTTCGGACCCCTTAATGCTAATATTAGTTTTTGCGTATATTGCCATATCTTAGGCGAATCGAAAAAGTTTTTGCATACAATTTAAAAAAATTCGTTTGTCCGAAGATAATTCCGTGCAAAAAATATTATTTTCTAATATTTCATTTAATAATAGTCGAAAAATTTTTGCATTGTAAGATTTAAATTTTTTTTACATCAATTTTAAAGAATGCAATTTTACATAAGGCAAAACTTGAGCGAAATCGTTCACACTGTTCTGGAGAAATCGAATTTAGATAGCGATTGCTCCTTATATATTGGGGGTTAGAAATCTGTACCTGTCGAAAAAATGGGATGTTTATTCAGAAAATGTGGACTTTTATGCCTGATTTCGCAATTTAAAATATCGTATACACTTATAAATTTGCACATTTGAGTTCATCCACACGATCTATTAAGATTGTGTCTTAGAATGGGAAGATCTGTTCATTAGATCAAAAGTTTTTCATGGTGTTCCGTTTTTTTCTCCGCACTGTACAAAATTTAAAAAAAAAAAAAAAAAAACTAACGAATTTTAAATAAATTTGTTGTTTTAAAACTCTGAAGTTTCCAATTTCTCCTGTTTGTCTGTTTGTTTTTTTTTATAAATAAAGGAAGTAATTAGAAATTAAAATCACCTTCATATGTACTCATCATTTTTAAAAGTGCGAGCCACTACTCCGCGACTATTCTACTTTTTTAGTATTCGAAGTTCTAAGGATTATTGACGTGGTGCATTAGTAAGTAACTAACTATCTTTTTCTCTAATCCGACTCCATTTTGATGAAATCGGAGCAGAACAGCATATTCTAAAAATTCTATTTGATTTGACGTACTTATTTCAGGTCAAAGTAACAATATGTAAGGTGCTTTATCTGTACGGTATGCCATTATACATTAAAAAAAAGCTATTATAGGTTTTTAAACGAAATTAGAAATAGTAAACATGGTCATTAATCTTTCCCTTGTTTTGGGAGATAGCTGAAAACAGCTGGTGTCAATTATTGTCAATTTTCGTTTAATTAAACGTTTAAATTATCGTATAATTACAGTCGTCCGCATCTTTTAAGAAGAATTTGTTTTTGCAAAATTGCTTTTCAGTTCACAAAAAATATTTTAAGAGTCTATAGTGTACAGTGCGCATAATAAAAAAGGTATAAACCTGAATAACTTTCGCTCTAATGATCGAATGCTCAAGTACTGTTAAATGTCATGAATCTAAATTTGTTGTTGTCGCCACGTAAAAGATAATTCGATAATTTGGCAACTGTTTGTTAATGTTTTGTTTTTTAATTTAATTGTTAGTTCTTCGATGAGTATGCTCTATGGTGAGAGTCCTATAATAAAAATATGGATGTCAATTAAAAATATATCGCTCTTCGTTAAGGACATTCTATGGTGAACTTCTTGTGTTGAGATATTTGTTAAATTTACAGTTCACTCTTTAATCGTCATAAGCATTTTTGGTTATCTTAAACGGAAACTTTTAATAATTTTGATTTCGTATCATGGATTATTTGCGAAATATTTGACTTTATAAGAACAAATTTGACATATGGAAAAACTTAAAAAAAAAGGGGGACTTAATACGAGTAACTTAATAATAAAAAAGGGAAGCATTAAAGCTACAATAACTCGTCTCGAAATTTTTTTGAATAAACCAGATGAAAAAATATAATGAACTTGACTAAGACACAAAAATAAATAATATTGAAAAAATTCAATCATCCGTTTGCATATTACGTGACAACTACTGTGACACTGTTGAGAATGAAGCTGCAATGGATAAAGTAGAAGAGGATTTGTTGGATATCGATTCGTGAATAGAAAAGTTAGAGGTAAGAATTAAAAATCTCATTAAAAATTTTAAAACAACTAATGCTATTGTGGGGGGAGGAGTATTAGGCCATGTCAACCTTCATCTATGAAGAGGTACCCCGACATAGAGTCGAGTTAACATGTCTTATATACTAGTGAATTGTAGTTGTAATTTTTGTAGTGGTAGATACGCCACAGCACTCCCCCACTAGAATTATATCTGTGATAGAATTCGATGAACAAATACCACTAGTTGATTCATTGCTGTTTTTGTGAGAAGCCGGGAGAGCTTTATTAAGATCACCTTATTATTTTTTAAGTGCTGAATGTGAGAGGTGTATTAACTTCACGGTCGTAGTCGCTCCTCTGTTGCCGTTAGCAGTCGAGTAATCACAAGTATGCAAGCCGACGTTATGCGTGATCGAGACGAGACTGAGTGGCAACAGTGCGAGGAGGTGGATAATGTCGCCGTCACAAGTAGCAAGTCAACTGTTCAATGTGGATCATCCATCGAAGTAGGCGTTACCGTCTAGGTAGGCGTGCCCATATCGAAGTGGGCATTACTGCCGAGGTAGGTGTGTTCACATCACGTCCGAANTTTAAATAAAAATATAAAAAAATAATTGCTATTTTGCTAGTTAAAAACCAATTAAATTCATTCCATAACTTGACGTGCTAACATATAAATAGAAAATAAATGTTTATAATTGAATATAAAAGAATAAAAATCTTTCTAGTGAAATGTAAAAGGTCCTCCTTTAATGAATTTTTCGTTGCATCCAAATGCACAGCAGTATACCACCAATTTTTTAAAATTTTATAGTTAAAAACACAGCTCATCAATTCACCTCCATAGGAAAAGAATGGGGAGAGGGTTTACTGGAGGGAAAATCGNAAATTGGGTCGGCTGTTCAACGATGGTTATAAAATATAAAATACCAACCGTCATCTATCAAAAGGTACCTCGTGATAGAATCAAGTTAGCATGCTTTATATACTAGTGAATGATGTNACGAGGGATGGGGGACTGGTTCTCTCTACCTAAATTACTCCTCTAAGGTAGTTACGCCACAGTACTCCCCCACCAGAATTTTATCAGAGATATAATTCGATGAACAGATCTCACTAGTTGATTGTACTTGTGAAAGACCGGGAGAGAGTCGCCGGATTTTTTGAGTGCTGAATGTGAGAGGTGTATTAACATCACAGTCGAAGTCGCTCCTGTGTTGCCATTAGCAGTCGAGAGTATGCAGGCGTTGAGAGTGTAGGCGGTGTGTGAATGTTCGAGACGAGACTGAAAAGCAACAGCGCAGGAGGTGAATGATGCATTCACAAATAGCAAGTCAACTGTTCAATGTGGACTATCCATCGAAGTAGGCGTAACCGTCAAGAGATTGCGAAGTGGGCGTTACTTGCGTGAGCAAATCACGTTCGAAGGTCACCAATGTGGGGGCGGAGCTAATCGACAATACCAACCGTCATCTATCAAAAGGTACCTCATGATAGAATCAAGTTAGCATGCTTTATATACTAGTGAATGATGTTAAACTTTCATAGTGGTAGTTACGCCACACTATAAATAATACTAAAGGTCTGGTTTCTTAGGACAAGCGCCTTATCTGAGCGTCAGCGGGACGTTAACGTCCCACTGACGCCAACAAAATACTGGTTTGTTAGCTCAAGGCCTGGTTTCTTAGAACTAGCGCTTTATCTGGGCGTCAGCGGAAAGTTGACGTAGAGCTGACGCCAAAAAAAATACTTTTTTGTTAGCTCAGCGTGAGCAGTCGGTCCAACGCAGACATTATCTCTCATTGCGCATGCGTTAATAACGTAAACAAATATTTATTTTGAATTCGTATTGATTTTGTTATTGTCGACCAGTGTCTTAGAGAACAAATAATGAAGTTCTGCCGTCCAAGAAAAAACACATTATAGCTGAGCTAAATGAAGAGTGCTATGTTTAATGAAGAAGCTATGTTTAATGTCAAAATCGAAATCTTGGCTGATTTCAATGTGCTGTTGGATGTTGTCCGCCATTGCTTCTGTGGTTACGTTACGTTGTAATTCAACTGCAGTTGAGTTGGACGGCAATTGTAGTTCAAGATGAGCGTTCGATGACGTATACTATCAAACTCACAAATGGACCAATCAGAGGTTAGCGCTGATTTCCAGCCGACGGCGTCTTGTCCTAAGAAACCAGGCCTTAACGATGATAAACAATCTTCTATGTCAAATTGCATTAATTATCGTATTTTTGAAGTGCTTATTCTAACATTTTCAATACCGCAGTGGACTGATCGTAAAGACACGGTTCCCAGTAGAACAGCGAAGTCAAGCATCACCGGCTGCTGTCTGTAAGCGGGTGGGTGACCACTTTGATCAGCCAGTCTAGGAACCGAGGGTGTGTAGTATAGGTAAACTGTTCTACCTCCCGCTGAACTGTTCTACCGTAAAGTGCTCGACATCACGCGCAGATCGTCGGGCTACCAAAGCAGGGGAACCGGCCCCTCTGCAGAGGATCAAAATTGCGATGGCATGCCTTCGGATCATCCACAGGGATGTTTCCCAAACCGTCACCAATAGCCCATTATGCAGCTCGAGTGCGACGCTAGTAAAGTACCTACCTCCAACGTTCAACTTTTATTCTATTTCATTTCTTTAAATTAAATAAAGTATCTAAAACTCACATGGTCTATTTTTCAAAAGTCACGAGACAAATGTGTACGCGTTCGTTTATTTATTTTATCTGTGCTTGATTTGCGCATTTGATATTATTTTATAGCCCACACTGAACAGCTGCTCATGTTGGAACTGTGGCACCCTAAGTTCAAACCCATAGCATTGTAATTTTGAACACAAATGGAGATGATAAGAGAAATCTTAGATCAAGCATTGGGACAAATATACGATACGTACATTAAAGGGTAATATACATTAAAGGGTACCAAAAAAAGGAAAAAGAAACATGGATCAAAGAAAATATTCGAAGTTCTGTTTACCGACTTCAATTCAGACCTTACATCTACGGCATTATTTTTTTGGCACTGAGTCCTTTTTCAAAATGATTCCTAGGAAAAACACTCAGAAAATTGGCTCAACATTATCTACCACTTCAGGGAAGCATTGCTATGTAATTTTAAGTCATCAGGATGCACTTAGGAATAGAATTTCTGAAATGATTAACTGCGGCACCCTGCATAAATATATATTTTTAAT